CATTATGGCTTTTGTGTTTTACACCTCTGAAATTTGGACTTTATTTTCACTGCATCTTAGCCTACTCAAACACATCATGTTAAAAAGTAGCAATGTCTATTTTTGCACAATCTGCCAACTTTTCCAAGAAAGGTTATAATTGATCCATTGAATCCAAAACAGAGTCTCTCACCACCATCCTACCCCTTTATGACCAAATTAGATTGCATTGGTTTCTTCTTATTTCTCGTGATGTCTTTGAATAAATGCACCCTTAATCTCTTCTCCCCTCCCCACCATCTCCATCCGTCCCCAGCTCCGCTGACATTCAACTCTCAAACTGCTCTCACTCTCCCAAACTTCAAATTCATGACTTCTAACATCAAATAGGTCCCAAGTGCTGTCCAGGAATCTCATCGCATTTCTATAGTCCATTCACACATCCAGTCTCTTACACAGCTATTTCACATTTTCTTTTCTCTCTGCAAATCTCCTTTTCCTTCTCCCTCCTCCTCACTCTTACCTGATGAGTTTGAATTCCACTTCAATAAGAAAACAGAAGCAATTAAGGGATTATTTTCATTAGCTCCCGCCACTGCCTCTACTGCCTACCCACATCTGTTCCCATGGAATCTGCCTTCCCTCCTGAGTGAATTGCCTGCGCTCTTTCTAAAGCTAAATCATCCATATGTGCCCTGGGCACCACTTCCTCTCATCTTCTGAAGGACTTTATTCCAATTCTCTTCTTTCTCTCCTGCATCATCAAATTTTCCCTCCACATTGGATCTTTTTCATCAAAACACAGAACACGCTACAATACACCTCATCTTAAAAAAAAAAAAAAAACTTGACTCGCTGCCCACCTTCAACTACTACCTCATTTCTTTGCTAGGTTTTGTAGGTCTGCTCCAGAAAAAAAACTGTCTACCTTCACCCTGCTCCCTTCTCTAATTTGATTCTCTCTTGAACCCACTTTAACATGCTTTGTCCCTCACAATGTCCTTGAAACGGTTCATATCAAAATCATCAATGAGTTTCATGTTGCTAACCCCAATGGCCAATATTAATCTTCATCTTATTCAACCAGAATTTGATACAATATAACATTCCTTTTTGAAATATGTTTTCCCCTGGCTTTCAGAGAACCCCTCTCCCTTGGTTATTTGCCTTCCTTACCGCATCCCTCCATCTAGCCAACCTCTAAATGTTGGAGTGCCCTGATGTCTCTTGTTTACACTTTCCTAGCTACATACACTCAATGTATGTAAGATTTTGTTGTTCCATAGCTTTTAACACACATCTATGCAGATAAATCCCAAGTTTCTGTTTCTAAACCACACATCTCTCTATAACCCCCAGCTTGTAACCTACTGACATCTGCACTTGGGTGTCAAAATTAACTTTCCCCCAAATTAAACTTATGACTATGCTTAAACTTTCTGAATCAAATAACTGCAGCTCCATTTGTCAGTTGCTCAAGCTAAAACCTTCATCATCCTTGACTGTTCTCTTCCCATAACACCCCACATTTCCTCCCACCTCTACCTTGAACTATATCCAGAATCCAACTGCTTCTCACCACCTCCATCACCATCCTCTTCCATCTGCATTACTACAAAAGCATCCTGTGGTCAGAACTTCTTATTGTCTCCCAATATCTCTATTTCCTCCTTCCATACTAATGGAATTTTAAACTAGGTTTATGGTCTTCCAGAATGTAGATTTCCTAACCTATCCCAGCTTGGTGTAGCCAAGGGGATTTAAGCAGAAATGTCTGCCAAACTTCAGGACACCTCCCTTAAGAGAAAGCTGGAAGGCACCCTTTGTAGCTGCCTCTTTATCCGTCCTCATCTTGCTTCCATCCACAGATGACTTCTTAATCCACAGAGAGGTACCATGTATTTACTCTTTAATATCTGCATTTACACTCTAGGTGAGACCTTAGAGCAATGACTTGGAAAGTTTTTGAGTCCCTGAGAACTTGGTCAATAGAGCTGCTATCTACCTCCAGGTTCAGACCCATGGATTTATGAGTGAGAGAGAGACCAAATTCTATTTCGAGCCACTCTTACTTGAATAATACTGTCACTGCTGAACTTCATCTGAGCCAGTATGCCTTCTGATTATTTCTCCTGCTTATGCTCTTGCTCCTTTGTAAACTATTCTCCCTACAGCATTAGCCAGAATGATCACTTTCAAACCCAGGTGGATTTATGCTGCTCTTGTAGTCAAAAGCCCTCAAGGGCCTCTCCATGCTCCTCTCCTTATAGTTCCACCCAAGCCCTTAGTAAACCCGACTGTACCTCCACACCTTGGCCCTCTCAGTTCCTCTCTGCCCTGGCCTCCACTCATTATTCCCTCTAATTGTTCCATTCCAGACCCGATGGCCACTTGCAGACTCTCGGGAACATAGTTCTTGCTGCAGAACTATGCACTTCTCTTCCTGGAAGACTACCTCCTGTTATCTTGTGGCTCACTCTCTCACTTTCTTCAACTATCCTCAGGTGTCACCTTATAAAACAGGACTTTTCTGACCACCAGATATAAACCATCATCACCACCACCAGGATATTGCCTATAAAAATTAGGATTTCAGCTTCTTTAGAAAATGCAACTGCTCTGACAATGTTGGGCCCAGTCCTTACAGGGCAACAATGGACCTGCACCACGGATAGTGCCAAGATGGAGCTTACGGGAGCTTTAGATTTCCCTCTCATATAATTTCCACCAGTGCACTGTCCTGGCTCTTTGACATGAACTATGGAGGCTCTGTTCATTTTATGTAAAACTGCTGTACAGGCTTAGCTTCAAGTACCCCTACCCCACCCCTTATCCCCAGCTACACAGTCATCCTTCTAAGTAGAAGGTATAATGTTGCTATTGGCTGGAAACTGGGTAGGGCGGGGGGACAGGCATCTATAGTTCATGGTCTCCCGAACTCTCTGGTGTTATACATCTCCCTATTTCACAGTTTTGCCAGGTTCTTTAAGGTACATGGCTAGCAAAGAATGGCTTGGAATATTTTAGTCCTCCTAAATTTATAGGGCAAAACACAAAAGAGTAAGAGGCTTTTAGAAACCCAAAGGAATGACTTTGTGGAATTCCAGGCATCGCAAAGCAATCGTTCCACCTACTAAATTTCTATAGCTGCTGTTAAGGCTGAAGTCCATCTACCAGATTATTTTACAAAGCTGTATGTATGGCTCATTCCTGGAGAGTTGTTTGATTTGGTTTAGAACCAAAGTCTGTTTTCTTTTTAAATGTTAATGCAGGCTAACCAGGCTTTGAACATGTGTGCAGAGATTATTGCAAACTGATTCATCTTCCCTGAGAAAGGATCTAGTCTTGCACAAAGGAAAAACTATTTCAAACAACTAAAAGGTGAATTTCACTATTGAGTTGGAAAATGCTATATTTAGAAGTTACTAGAGGCAATTGCTAGTTCAGATTCCTCAAAGTGAATAATTTGTAAGGGGTTTGTGTAGAGAGAGCATGGTAGCATCCTGTTATATATTTATATCAAGTTTTTATTAAAGAAAAGGATTGGTCTTTCCATGTCAATTTTACCATGTCTTTTTAAGTACTTTCAAAAACCAAATTCTTGGAAAATAGTAATAAAAACTACTTTGAATGGATCTCATGGACTTTTCATCTTAGTAGGTTGTTAAGAACTATTGTAATTTCATGCATTCGTTCAGCAAAGTCATGCAACAAATATTCATCCAGCAATGCTATTCTGTGTTCTAGGCACTACATTCAGAACAGTGAACAAAAGAACAAAGTCTCCCATCTCATGGAGATTACAATCTTTTGGGGGCAGGGGGAGATGGGAGGCAGAGACAGTAAACAAGTGAATGTGTAAGACTTGGACTATGAAGAAAAGTGTCAGCAAAACAGGCAGAGATAGAGTTTTACCTGCATTGACACCACCAGCATGTGGTGCTTCAAGGGAACTAAGAGGATAATGAACAAAGCAATGACTTAACATGGTAAACTGTACCCGCAGAATCTCTGATCAGGTAGAACATTTGCTCTCTAGCCATTGAGCTGGGTGGGGAAAAAGCATTCCACGCATGCTTTCAGTCCCACCTCCCACGACCAGGGGCCTTGTGCGTCTGTGGCAGGTGGGTTCCAAAAGGAAAAGCCTTGGGAGACAAAGTCCTTATTTTGACCTCTAACTGTGACCCCCACATACTGGGGGCTTCAGAGACACTTCACCTGCTCTAAAGTGTTGAGATTCTTGTGACTCTGAAGCAAAGCGAACCTCTACTTAGAACAAAGGTTACAGTGTTGTGAAAGGAGTCTGCAAGTTCAAATGTTTTCTCATAAGCTTTCTTTGCTCTTTGTGGTGTCCTGGAGAGGGAAGGAATCATTGCCCAAGGCCCCCTTTTACTTTCCCGGCTACTTCATCCATCTAACCATGTATGGAAGTTGTTCATTGCTTCACTAAACAGTCAGCACTTCTTTTTTCCAGATATTGTGCTGTGTTAGCAGAACTGGGGTGGCTCTTCTCCTTCCCAACAGATCCAGAAAGATGGTATCTTTACTTACAGACTTTGTGTTCTCTGAGCAGAAACAGAAAACAGATGGACACGCTCAAATGCTCAATCAATATCTTTGTGAAAATCATGCAAAACGGTATTACTCTGGGTCTCTGATAAGACCTCTCTGGACTGCAGTTCTCTAAATATCAGCGGATGTGGTGGCCTCCCCCCAGGTCAGCCCAGGAAGTGTAGGAGAGCCAGAGGCCGGGTGGGAGTCAGAGGCTGAAAGAAGAAAGGCCGTGACCTTATGCACAAGAAGTGAATGTCAAAGGCTGTAAAGTCAGCAAAGTTGCTTGGGGCTGCGTTACCACTTTGTGAGCCTGGGCACTTTTGCCTTTAAGGCCCCCTTCCTCCATTACATAATATTAAAAATTAAACTGCATGATAATGCTGTGTAAAGATGAATATAATCCTGAATGGATCCATTATTATACATTTATTATGATTATAATCCTTTTTTTTTTGTTCTTGTTTCAGGAGAAATGAAAATGGTTTCGTGGGCCCCTGAATGGATCGGGCCCCCTACACACAGGGCTTCTTGTGCCTAATGGAGAATTCAGCCTCAAGTTGGTATTTCAGCACCTTTGCCCTTCTTCAGGACACCATTGTTATCACACAAATATCTCAGGCACCTCACCTTCCGGCTCCCACTGCCTTTCCTGCCCACTGACCCATCAGCACACTATAGCCAGCTATGGAGCGAGGAAAGATGTGATAAACCAATGGACTGTCTCATGTGTTCTAATGCATGCTCTGCGTACATTACTGGGGCACAATGTTCTCTCAGTGGCTTTATCAGATTACAATAATCGGGGGGCATAATTGTAATCCAACAAATAAGGAACAACATACGTTGAATTTGTATTATAAACTGGGGAGTCTTTTGAGAGCTTCACATGTATGTGGTAATGTAGTATCTTCCCATTTTTTAGGTCCAGAAATAGATTCAGAGAGGAAAAGGGACTTGCCCGTGACCACGCAGTCTGGGCGATGTCAGAAACCAGAGCTGGCTGACTCAAGGGAGCTCGTTCTTTCCGCTTCTCACCAGACCACAGTCCTATCATCATCACTGGGATTTCTCCAGATGAGATGGCCCTTCTGGAGGGTTTATACTTCTCAGGGTGACAAAACATGATGTTTCTTCACAGGAACTGAAAGGAGATGACCACTCTGCCCACACAAACAAAGTTTGCAGGAAATCTAACCCTGGGACAGTAATTTTAAGGAACAAGAAGACATGAGTCATGATCCAAAACAGCAAGAATGAGGCCTGGGATTCTTCTTGCACCAGAACAAATGTGGGGGCTTAGTTCCAACCATAGAATGTGGGAGGAAGACATGCTGCTGTAGGTTGAACTGTCTGGAGAAAAATGAATATTGCAGACACGTGAGAATGACTATTTCCTAATGGGTGCCTAAAAGACAGGGATGTATGTGTTTAATAAATTCTTGTCATATTCTACACTTAGAAAAGTCATACTTAATCAGTATGTTACGCCAATACTGGCGCCATCTTTAGAAAATTTAAATTTGACCTTTTCTTATGTTCTGCATTATTATATTACAAACTAATCCCCTGAAGTCTTCGAAGTTAAGGTTATACTATCTCAAAACATTTTTGCTATCTATAATTATACTAAGAAAACAGAGTCATTCTACCAACTTTGGAACTGAGATGCTAAGTTTGATAAATTCTCCCTCCCCCATTATTATTTGTGATCATTATAACAGCTAGTGAGAGCTTATTGTTTGCCAGAAACTGAACTAAGAACCTTATATTATGCTATTTTAATTCATATAACAACCCTAAGGAGAAAGTACTGCTAGTATCCTCATTTTACAGAGAAGAGAATTGGAGATTAGAGAGGTTAAAATCTTGCACAATATCACTCAACTACTATGTGGGAGTATGGAGGTTCGAATTCATGATTAATCAGTGTATTTTAGTTTAGTTTATTCACCCAGCCAGGGCTCTTTCTATGTGGACCCAAACCTTTGAGTTCCAAAGTGGTTGAGATCAGGCTGAACAAAAATTACCCAATGTCACTGAGCTCTGAGCATGAAGAATTAAGGTCCTTTTATAAGTAATATCTTAATAACCTACTCCAAGAATTGGCTTCTCTATGGGACACACAGAGACCTCATTTTTTATTACTGTGATTTACAGACAAGTCGTCTTTCTGTCAGACTGTGAAAGCCATCAGGAGTCAAAACAACAGATTTTCAAAGCACGTCTTTTCAAGAACAGAGTCAAGACACACTCTCAGAGTATGAACTTAGAAATCACCTGCATCGCTCTGTGACTTTGTGACTCTGACTTGATGATCAGTGGTGACTCTAGATTTGTTAGGAACAAGAAACTGACTCTATCAAACACCATAACCCCTCATTGCATTTTGATCCATATGACATACATATATTAAAAGCTTCTTCCAGCTCAAATGTTGAAAATTGAAATGAAATCTTGGACAAGTGGGGAGACAAGGTGCATAAAAATGAACCTCGATTCAATCTGATCCAAAGGCAGAGATGCTACACTTCACACTTGGCAATAGACCCTTCCTGGGCTTGCCTCCCATCCCAGTAGCCCCAGGTTCTTCTACTCAAGGACCTTTGATAATATTTTGGAGCCATCAGAGAGGTAAATAAACATTCTACCATGAACTGCAGAGGACAGGTCCTATAAAAATCCATTAGCATCAGAGGTGTCTGTTTACTTTATAAACAACAAGAGCTGTGTCAAGAGTTGCACAGGCCTTGGGGGATGTTTACTCTTAAGAAAGCAGTATGTCGCCACCTACAGGAAGTGACCAAACTATGTAGTCCGCCCATCTGGAGAATAAATTCATCTGCTTCTCAACCCAGTGACTGGTGATAAAATTCCTCATCCCTAAAAATAATTGTCATAATATACCATAGGGTGCTCAGGTTTGCTTCCTATTCAGCAACTAGGGAAATAAATAGATACTTAAGCTAATCATTGTGATTTACCTTACAAGGCAGAGGTTGGAATCCAACAAACGCTTTCTAACGTTGAAACTAACAGGCTAAGATCCATGCATGCCACACCCTAGACTGATCTTACTCAAGCATGCCCCCCAAAAGGAATACCATGTGTTCCCACAGATCCTGCTCTGGTTGTTCTCAATCAGAGACAGGTGGGGTAGCTCTGACCTGGGGCTGCCTGGGGATCTAGGATCTTAAGTAAATGAATTATTGGTCTAACACCCTAGAATATGTCCCCTTCATAACCTTGTTAAAAGCACCATGGTCCTATTGTTACTGTAGGTAGTTAACTAGTTATTAATAAGGAAGGGGAGCAAAGGACATTGGACATTGAGCTTAATAAACTGGGGAACATGAGCCTGTTTGCTTCACCAGGAAGCTACGGCTTCACACCCCAGAGGAGCATAGCGTTGCTTTGCCATGGAAGATTAACACTCCCCTCTCCCCGTCTCTGGTATCAGATTATTGGAGGATGCAGGGAGAGGTGTTTGACCATAGAGGCCTATCAATCAAGCTAGGGGCGGACCCATCAAAAAGTCCACGAAAGCTTGGGAAACTGATTGGTTATTTTGCAAAAGCACCTGGTCCATCCCAAACCAAGCTAATATAATCCCAGGGGAACAAAGAAGTGTTCTCTCTCTCTCCCCCCCCCCCCATTAGCACACTCACCCTGTTCATTTGCATGCTCTCTCACCCAGGAGCAAGCAAGCGTGTGGCTCTAGCAGCTACCGGGGCCCCGTGGCAGACTATGTGGACTCCAAAGGACTGAGCTTTAATGTGAAGCAGAAACTCTGGACACAGACTTTTGTTTTGGCCTTGCTGAGAGCACAGTTGGGCTTTCTCTATGGCAGGATGGATGGAGAGGAGACATGGGGGCAGCCCTCCACATGAATAAACCATCTTGCCACACCACTGTCTCCCTTGTGTGGATTCTTGGGATGCTTTCCTCACAATCCCATGGAAGTGCCTGACTTCCACCTACAGCATTTAAGAAAAAGTGGTCCAAGGGGCATTCTAACTACTTCTTTCTCTAGAGAAAACACGTTAAGCCCAGAATAGTCCACCGCAATCTAATTTTATACTCCTGACCATGAGAAGAAAGCCACCTTGAAAAATAGAAGAATTTTAGGGTCTCTGTTGACCTATCCTTGGCTGTTAGCAATGCTAATAAAGATCTTGCACCATAATCCCAAGTGCAAGAATCAAAATCTTTGGATGAAACACTCAAGTGTGTAAGATGGTAGTCAGACAGATCCAGGGTGGGGGTTGATGACCCCACCACTTTTTCCTATTAAAATTGTGGATTAATAACTTAATCCCATTCGTGAATTTTCCATCTTCTAATAAATCAAAAAAGGAAAACAAGCAGCATTTCTTCATAAATATATATAATCGTTTTTAAGAACTAGGAATCTTTGTTAAAAACGGGATACAATCTCATGGGATATCATTTGCCAGAAACACGGCTGCTGATTAGCTGGCCACTACTCAAGTTCTATTCCTTGGTTGATCGCTTTCACCAAATGCTCTCCTGATTTCCTGCTAAATCATCAAAACACCTGGGCTACATCAGCATTCTGCTGGAAATACCTCCTTTGAGTTATGATTTAGTGTGAGGCCCTGGGCCATAAGGGAGAATTTTCCTGCAAATTTTATAAAACTAAAACTGTATTGAGGACACTTTTAGTGTCCTTCAATTAAGAATTCATTCTGTAAATTCTTCTTAGGATTTAGGGATACAAAACCATATAACACTCAGAAATTAATTTATAATAAAACTGCAGTATGTTTCTCTTCGTTTTTTTTTTTTTTGAAAGATGAGAAAAAATGGAATTGGCAACCATTTCATTCCTGAAACAATTGTCTGCGAGGCAGGCAGTAGGGAAGGAAACCAAAAGTCCAGCTGAAGTGCTTAACAATTATGCCATCTCTGCTACGTGTACGGTGGCAGACTAAGACAGCTACAAATTCTCTAACACTCCTTCCACCCAGAGGTGAAGTCTGCTTTTCTTCCCCCTAAATTTGGGTTGGCTCTGTGATTATCTAATAAAATACGGAGGAAGTGCTGTTATGCCAGTTTCCCGGTCCAGGTGTTAAGAGACTGGGAGCTTCCATTTCCTATTTCTATAATTACTTCTTGGAGCTCTGAGTCTGCATCTAAGAAATGAGATTACCCTGATGGAGAGACCAAGGTGGGCAGTTCAAGGTTACATAGAAAGGGTAGTACATAGCCCAGCAGAGTCCACCCTTCCAGCCATCCCCTCTAAGGGCCCAGACATGTGAATGACACCCTCTTAAACCATCCAGAGAAAGCTGGCCACCAGCTAAATACCAGCATGACCCCGGCCAATGCTGATGGAGCAGAATGATCACCAAACAGAGCCCTGCCCAAATTCCGGTCCTATGGATTGTGAATTGTTTTAATCCATTATGATTGGGAAGGTTTGTTACTACAGAAACTGGAACACATATGTTATCTCATGTGATTCTCATACAACCATCTGAAGTAGGTAGATCATAGCATACTAAACTAACTTCCCTTAAAGTAAGGTTCCACACTACCAGATGGCAAAGCCTCACAAGAGCTCAGTTTCTGGACTCAGCCCATGTGTATGCTGGATGCTGCCTCTAGGTGCCGAAGAGAACAATGCCCAGCTTTGCCGTGGCCGTGCCCCACACTGGGGTCCACGAAAGCCTGGTGCTGGAAGGGCCCCTCCAGCTTCTTCTCTGCCTCATTTCTCAACGTCACGCCCATGCCAGTCCCACCACCCTGGACAAGCCCATCTTTTCCTCCACTGGCTGTGCGATCTGAGGCAACTTACTGAACATTCTGGAACTAATGAGTGCTCTGGAAGTATCAGCTGCTGCTGATTCTGACTGCAACCCCCGATCCTCTCCACAGTCAACTTCATGAGGAAGGAGGGTCCTTAGACCAAGAGGCCCCTGGGCCTACCACACACCTCAGAATTCTCCAAGCAAGTGTAAACATTAGAGCCAACCAGAGGTCCCCTTTTTAATCAAAACATATCATTTATGATGAATTCTTGCTGCGTGTATATATTTCCTGTGTTGCTTCACATGGATGCCCAGGACCTGGGGTATGTGCGTCTACCACTTTCGTCTGTTTATTATAATGAGCCGACTGTGTGTCAAAATATGCTAGGCTTCTTTTGTGAGTTAGCTCATGTATTCCTATCAAGAACACCATGAAATGTATTTTAATGACATAACATGCAATTTTATGATCCCAACATTTTAAAACTTGCTCTAGGTGTCAAAGTCACTTCTCTTTCTTGGCATAAGAAAAAGAAGACTCAAAGCTTCTCTTTGGATGGAACAATTTTATAACAAAGAATCAAACAGAGGTGTATAGGGCAAGAAACAGAAAAGTGAGGGAAACATCAGATTTTGATTCATTTCTGTATTCCCTTCCTGAATAAATCGATCAAGCATCTCTTATGTAACAGTGTGTTGTCCTGGACACCCTGAGAAGCAGGCACCAAGACAGGATTAAATGTGCAAGAAATTTATTAGCGGGAACACCAGTGAGAAAGATCTGGGAGGGTGTCAGGAAAGTCTGAGAAAGCCATCAGCCTTTGTTCCTGGTCTGACTCCGAGTGAAGGAGAGAAGGAAGGGAGGGAGCAAGTTTAAGTGGATGCATCTTAGATTGCCTGTGGTTTAAGTAAGGCTACGGGGGAGTCCTCCAGCGAAAGTTGCCCATCAGACGACTTCTACGTCTCTCAGAAATGGGAATTTTATGCAGCAGAGAGAAAGAAGGAGCTACTACCTTTTGCAACAACATGGATGGAACTGGAAAGCATTATGCTGAGTGAAATAGGCCAGGCATTGAAGGACAAATACCATATGATCTCACCTTTGACAGGAAGCTAAAGAATAAAACAAACAAGCAAACAGAATAAAAACAAAGACGCTGAAATAGAGAACAAGTGGGCAGCGACCAGAGGGGAGAGGGAAGGGAACTTAAGGGGAAAAAGGGGGAGGGATTTTGAGGAACAAGTATGAAAGACACAGAGTTGAGGACTGGGGATGGGGGGGGAATGGGAGGGAGGGGGGAGACGGGGGGGGGGGAAGGGAAAAAAAATGTACTTGAAAAGTAACTAAATTAAAAAAAAAATTACAAAAATGTCAAAAAAAAAAAAAAAAAAGAAATGGGCCTTTTTAGTATCTCAGCGATGCATAGGTAGTTCCTGGGAGCAGCCCGAGGAAAACATGGCTTTCTCACAACAAACTCAGCAACGGGTTTCAGAGTCACACAGAGGCAGCCCTCAGTCCCAACAGCTGGAGATCTGAGAGGCACATTCTCACAGCTCCTGAAAACAGAAACATTTTTACACCCCTCCCCCAAAAAAAAGAAGAGAAAGGGAAGACGGGGTTGTACTGTGAAGAGCAGGTGAGGACTGCCACCCAGTCTGCTCCTAACCCACGACGTGTCCTCCAGAAGCTGCCCCGCGGAGCCAGTAGAAACCTGGACACTTGCACCAATATACCCAAATCTGGAGAGATGCAAACAGATGAGGAAAAACATTTTTAAGTTTATTCAACCAGGTTGTTGATACGCTCTTGGCCGGTTTGTACTCCCAGGCTCTCACCTACTAGGTATTAGAGAAATTCTGTGAGTTGGTTTTCATTCACCATCAAAACCCATTTGTTTTTGTGATCACATCTGCTACTATGTGGGGAATGGATGAAAAAAAGGCCCATTAGAGAAACAAAGAAAACACGTAGGTGTTCAGAGTAAAGTGGTGGCAATGGAGACAAAGAGAAGAGAACTGGTTGGAAATGTAACCTTTGGAGATGTAATCAACAGGATCACTAGTGGATTAAAACCCCAGCCTTCAAAGGCAGTGAAGACTGCAGCCTGCAAAGACAGGCAGGGCGGCAGCAGGGACCGCCAAAGGCTCTGACGGGGGCTGCCTCGCTCAGACTCTGCCATAACCCTAGATGGGAGACAGCACATTAAAGAGTGCCTTCCACTCCGTCCCATCACCCTGATCTCCGTCCCATCCCTGATCTCCACAGAGAGGCCCACCACTGCCATTTTTGTCGGCTAATCTGGGCTTTTGAATTTTCTTTTCCAAATGATCTGATCTACTACAAGTAAGTGAGAGCTCAAAATCATTTTATAAAACCATCTGGAAAATGATGTTAGAGCTCAGCGATTTTCAATTAAGTACAGACAGTGTCCCAAAATAGGAAACTCACCAGAAGGTTGGAAGGAGGGTATGAAGACCACATACCAAATGTCACTGTGCCTTTCATGTCTGAAGCCAAGATAACCGCTGAATTTTTCAGTGGGAATCCAAGGTCACCTTAAGACTTTGTCTTTGATCTCCTTTCTGAGCACAATACCTGCTCAATTTTACCTAAATGAAAGTATATGCTATCAGATTGAAAGCAACCTATTGAATAGAAACCTAGCTACGGGCTTTATTCTTGGGAAAAGAAAGCCTGGAGCGAGTGTGCAAAAAACGTCGGCCACCTCCCATGCACATCAACCTCCCTGTCATGCCCTTCACATGGGAGACTCATTCAAGCCTCTTGGGGAAGGCATGCCCATTTGCCTCCGGAGAAAAGTGGTCCCACTCTCCCCCGTGGGCACCATGAGGGAGAGCAGAACAGAGGGAGGGAGTTTGCTTCCTCTCTCTGGTCTCTGCCACGCGAGGACACAGCAAGAAGATGGCCATTTGCAAAGCCTGAAAGAGACAGCAGAACATGACTGTGGTGGCACCCTCATCTCAGCCTCCGCGACTATGGAAAATAATTTTCTGTGGTTGAAACCACTCAGTCTATGGGATAGGAGCCCAAGCTGACTGAGACAATGGCTTAAGCCTGACCACCCTCTGCGTCTAGGGAA